GGCGCAGGAGAGGAAGACCCTCGATGAGATGGATCAATTCTGTGAGTGGAGTGGTGGGAATGACTGTGTTTGAGACAGCAAAGTTGGCCCAGGATAGAACAGCGTTTAGGGCTCTTGTACATAGGGTCACTATGAGTCACAAATGACTCGATGGCACATAACAACAACAACAATCTTCAAATTTATAGAATCTAGACATATTCCTTGTTGGGATATTTTAATTGATATTTGTATTTGTTAATGCTCTTAATTAATAACTTTAAGTTGAACTGAGAAGAGAATATGGAATGAGGGATATCATCATCCACATCACATGAGTCTTGGTTAAAAACAGAGAATACCAGAAAGATGTTTATCTGTGTAAAGATCTCTAAAAATTACAAAAGAACAAAGATGCCTCTTTGAAAACTAAGTTTTGTCTGACCAAAGCCATGATATTTTTAATTGCCTTTTATGCTTGTGAATCTTGGGCGTTGATTAAGGAAGTAAAAGAGGAATTGATGGCTTAGATTGTGGTCCTGCAAAAGGCTATTGCCTATCTTAGCCCTTGCCAAAAGAAAAAACAAATCTGCCTTGGAGGAAGTGTAGCCAGAAAAACAAATCTGCCTTGGAGGAAGTGTAGCCAGAAAGCTCCCTGAGACAAGGATAGTGAGACTTCATCTCACATATTGGACTTGTTATTCAGAGGGAAAAATCTCAGGAAAATGACATCATGCTTAATAAAGTATGTTGTTTTGTTGTTGTGAACTGACACATAGCTGACCCTCCAGTGGGTTTTCAGAGCAGTAATCCCAATGAAAGTTGCCCACCTTTCGCCTGTGGCATGCAGCTGGTGGTTTTGAACTTCATGCCTTTGGGATTGCAGCACAACTTCTTGTTACCAGTCCCTTAATAAGGTATAGGGTCAAGGAAAAAGAGAATGACTCTCAGTAGCGAGATTGACACGGTGACTGCAACAATGGGCAACAAAGTAGTGTAAATGGGGCAGGATTCCATTCTGTTGTGCTAGGTCATTATGAGTCAGAGCCAACTGACAGCACCCGAAACCACCACCACCAACAAAATGTTTTCCACCTCTTCTTTTCAGAGAGAGACATTGTAGATCACCAAAGCAATGTGAGTTTATTTTTAAAAGATGGTGATAAGTGAACAATAATCAGTCTATTCTTTTTCATGTAGACCTTAAGGATTATTTTCTAGGTTTAGAAAGACGTCCAGAATCTCAGAATGATGTAATTTTTTTTTTCTACAATAAGATTGTACAAAGAGTGTAGGCATCATGGGGATGGCCATATCTGACCTGTACTAACTCCCTGAGGAGGAATGGTCTCCATCAGAAACATCCATAGCAGAAAACCATTTCTCTTCAAGTCAGATATGGCCTCCATGCTTTTGCTACTTCTAACCCTAACTGTATTGCTCTACTACATGGTCCAAAATCTGTTGTAATAGCCACACAGATCTTACAGAACCAAATTCACAGTTACAGGGTTTACCAGGGAAGTTAACCAGTTATAATTCAGGTTCGCAACAGGATACAATAATTCAGTCCAGAGAGCTTCTTAAGCATACATACCCTTTGGCCCTTTGGCCTTCAACCTCACAGCTTACGTCAGTGTTACAATGTTCCCTTATTCCTATCAATGATGGAATTGTCCCTCAGTCCCTTGAAGGTGCCTGGCTCTGGTTCAGGGGAGTAGCTGTCCACATCAGCTGTTTCATGTCTGTTTGTGGTTCTTTGATGAGGCTGCTTCTTTTCTTGAGTAGAGCCTGGTGTGACTGGCACAGGAATCTCTGGCCCTGAAGGACATGTGCTGCATTTTCTACTTCCTGTTCCCTGCTGGTAGTCATAGTTTTACCTTTGTTGCTAAATTTGCTCAACTTAAACTTGGTGAAATGGAAAACACTGAACAATCCCATGATTATACACATCTCATTTCAAGAAAGTGGAAATTATCAAACAATATCATTAATAGCACATGCAGTAAAATCTTGGAGATTATTAAAAAAAAATGGCCAGAACAGTACATTGACAGAACTACCAGAGACTCAGTCTGGATTTAGAAGACAACATGGTACCAGGAATACCATTGCTGATGTAAGATGAATTTTGGCTGAAAGCAGAGAGTACCGGAAGGGCGTCTACTTGTGTTTTATAGACTATGCAAAGGCATTTGATTAATTGGATCATAACAGATTGTGGCTAACATTAAGAAGAATGGGAATCCCTGAACACTTAATTGTGCTTTTGGGAAACTTATGCAAGAAGCTACTGTCCAAACAAAGCAAGGGACCACTGCGTGGTTTATACCAATAAGGATGTGCATCAGGGATCTATCCTTTCTTCATACTTGTTCAATCTGTATGCTGAGAAAAACTTTCAGGAAGTCAGACTTTATGTAGAAAAATGTGGCATTAAATTCAATAGAAAACTCTTCAATAACGAACATTATAAAGATGAAACAATCTTGCTTGGTGAAACTGAGGAAGACTTAAAATCTTTGCTGCTGGTGATGAAGGATTATAACTTTAATATAGGTTACATCTTCATATGAAGAAAACAAAATGCTCATCATTGGGTCAATAGGCAATATCATGATAGATGGAAAGATAGAAATTGTCAATGATTTAATCTTACTTGGATTCATAATCAACTACCTTGGTACCAGGAGTCAGGAAATTAAGAGACATGTTTTATTGGGAAAGTCTGCAGTCAGGTATCCCTCCTAAGTGCTAAAGAACAAAGATGTCAATTTTTTAGACAAATATGTACCTGATCCAAGCCATGGTCTTTTCAATTACTTCCTATGCATCAGAGAGCTGGACAATGAGTAAGGAGAACAGAAGAATCAATGTCTTTGAGTGCTGGAAGAGAGTATTAAATATTCCATGGGCTACCAAAAGAACAAATAAATATGTCTTGAAGAGAGGGCAGTCAGGGTGCTTTTTAGGAAGGATGGGGAAGTTTAGTCTCACTTGCTTTGGGCATGTTGCTAGCAAGGGCCAATCCTTGTAAAAGGACATTATGCTTAGAAAAGTGGAAGGTCTGAGAAGGATGGGAAGACTTTCAATGAGATGGATTGACGCAGTGATTGTAGCAATGGTCTCAAGTCTGTCGGATATGATGAAGAAAGCACAAGGCACAGGATAGGATGGAGTTCAGATCTGTCATTCATAAGGTTGCTATAAGTCAGAGACTTGATGCCACTTGACAACAACAAATTTCAAATTCCTGTCCAATATGTGATGAAAATCAAAGCCAACAGCTAAGAAAGCCATTTTGCTCAATAAACCCATGATACCACAAATGTGATGCTTATACCACTGGTCTCATTAGATTTCCTTTAACACATGGCATCTAAGCACGTGACATCGTAAGCTCTATGGGAGAGTGGATAAGCTGTGAGTCCATATCTTAGAGATCAAGTAATAACAACAGAAAGTCTCTATTAAGTGATTGCAAAACAATTAGAACTGACCATGTCTCTCTCACTTTTGCTGGATATCGAGTTTTTTGAGGATATAGACTGGTCTTGTTCTTATATTACCCTCTATCCTTGTCATAAAACTAGCCTCTATATTCAATAAATATTTGTAAAGTGAATGATTAAATGAACTCAAATTGGAAGTTTTGAAGGAGTTCCAGTATCTAATCAATCAATAATTATTGAACTCCAGCTATGCATAGTTGTGAGCTAAATATGACCAGATACTCTGTGAGTACATTGAAGTCTCTAGTCTTCCGGTGGGCAAACAGGGTCATATGAGACCATATGTAACAGGAGAATATTCACCATAGCCTCACACAATCTTTTTATATTCTATGAACTAGCAGAAAAAAGTTCATTTACTTCAACGTGTACGGACAAGAGCAATATTCAGAAATGATGACTCTTCCAGCATTATCTTCCATTAGGGAGTCATCAAGGCCATTGGAAATGGAAAGATACTGTCAGCTGGTTGTTTCCATTTACAGATCTATTCTGAGAGTATGTGCACATAGTCTGTTCCTTAGGCACAACTGCTGTCATTTTGGATGATTATGATAATTCAAAGGCTGGAGGGAGAGAATGACGCCTTGCAAGTTGAAAACACTCTCCGTTCAAAGTAGCCATCTCCTTCTAACTCCTTTTTTGGGTGCATTTTATTTGCAGGCGTTCTCATGTGGGAAGTTTTTACAGAAGGCAAAATGCCTTTTGAAGACAAGTCAAATTTACAAGTTGTGGAAGCCATTTCTAAAGGCTTCAGGCTATACCGTCCTCATCTGGCACCAATGTCCATATATGAAATCATGTACAGCTGCTGGCATGCGGTGAGTGTCCTTAACTTTCCTGAAAATGTGCTCACTCCATCTGCTAATGTTATCATTATGTATCATCAAGTTAGACTCCCTTATCGCTGACCTTTCGGCAGGTTTTCTTTATTTGTACTATCATTCGCTTTTATACAACTATCGATATACATTGTTTTATTTATGTGCATTTTGTTTTATACAATCCTTTCTGTACATTGTATTTTATGTAATCAATTATTGCTGAGCTATTACTTTTATCTTGCCATCCCCTAATGTCTCATTGTACTTTACCTATTCCCTCACCCCATGCCCCCTTTCTTCACCAATCTCTGCTGTACAACAGGCTTTGAGAAGCTGTATATGTCACAAGAGGACACTGGTCATCTTTTTTTTTTCTCAGAGCAGCTGGTAGATTTGAACCATATGGTTTTGCGTTATCAGCATAGCTCTTTACCACTAGGTCACCAGAGCTCCGTATTTCTTAATAGCAGCTCTGATTACTATTGTAGATAACACTCCACAATCACGGACATCATGACAAAGAAAAGGTATTCATTTCATAGTGACTCCCTCTACAAAGCCATTAATCCATTGTATCCTCAACAACAGCCTTTCAACGGAAGAATTTAGGGCATTCTTTCCCAAGTCCCCCCCCCCCAGATTGGTTCTTTGAAGAAACCCTTGATGTCTCCTTAGCCTCAGAGATTAGATGTTTTATCCCCAACTGGCTGAGGGAAACTAAGGGTAGATTCATGTTTACTAAACTTATACTCTGAGTAAAACAAACAAATAAAAAAGCAGAGGAATAATATTATTGTTTGCTTCACTCTACTTTCATTTCCATGCTTTCTCGGAGCTGAAAGCAATGGATTTCATTTCTCTTGGCAACACTCAGTAGTCCTGATAGAGATACCAAATGAGAACAGGGCTGAGGGTAGCAGGTGTGCCAGAAACACTAGCGGGCTCAAATTCTCTTCCAGAAACATCAACGCTATAAATAAAGTGGAACCCACTACTGCCATCAAGTTGATGACAATTTATAGTCTCCATAAAGGGTTGAGTAAACTGACTCATTTGGTTTCCAAATCTGTAAATCTTTGAAGATCCACAACATCCTTTCATTTTTCTTCTGTGGAGTGAATGATAGATTTGAATTTTAATCCTCTGTACCACCAGGACTTTTCAAAATAGTTGGAGGATATGACATATTTAGAATGGACAAGAAGATAGAGAACAAATTTTTGAAAGATTATCAAGGTTGGATAGAAAGCAATGGGGGAAAACATATTCCTTTGTGTACACTGCACTTCTTCTATTAAGAGTGATGAAAGAAAAAAAAAAAGGAGGGGACAACCTCCTCCTGTACCAATCAGATCTGATTTGACGGTACACATAAAAATAATACAATAAAAATTTAAAAAAAAAAAGAGTGATGAAAGAATTAGCGTATGGGATGGCTGAATAAGGAATCCTGATGACACTATGGTTAAATGCTTGGTTAGCAGTCAAAAGGTTAGTAGTTCTGACCCACCTAATGGTTCCACATGAGAAAGACCCAGCCATCTGCTCTCGTAGAGTACAACTTGGAAAATCCTATGGGGCACTTCTATTTTGTCACCTGGGATGGCTGTCAAAGTCAATTTAATGACACCCAGCAACAATGTGATGAATGTGATGATAATGTGATGAATGTATTGAATGCCACTGAACTATACAAGAGAAGATTGCAAAAGTGGCAAATATGATATTACCTGTGTATTTACAAAAATAAAAGGGAAAAATTAACCAGAACCTCAAATAAATTAAGCCTCTGCCTTTCCTGGACACTCACACAACAAAACCTTCATCTTATTAGACTCCCCTGTGATTTCTTTCTTTTTGGGGAACCAGAAAAGTCACAGCTTAATGAGGAGTTTCCTCTTGTGCTGAAAAAGAATACCTGATTTTCAGTCCACAAACCCTAGCAAGTTCAGTATTTTAGGAGTTATGTGACTGTTTACATTCCAGAGAGGCAGTGATTGGTCAGAATTTCTTCACACCGTAAACTCTACCTGACGTATGAAAATATTTTTCTTGTGTTTAACTCCTCTGCAGGAGATCTTGAGAGATAAAAATTGTTGGGTAAACTATTAGTAGAAAACAGGTGTTTTAACATATTTTTATGTATGTCTTGCTGCAATGAAAAAGAAAATGAATTACTTTTTACAACTCTTTCCAGTAACAATGGAAACAGCCACAGAATTTATAAGATGCATATGCAGCAATGAGGGATCTCTGGTGGCTTAGTGGTAAGGAGTTGGGCTGCCAATCCAAAGTCAGGCAGTTCAAATCCACCAGCTGTTCTGAGAGAGAAAAATGGATGCTCTCCTGTGGGAAGCACAGGCTCTGAAATCCAGCTGGAGGATCGGTTCTGTTGTGATAGAATATAACAATGCATGCAATAATGAGGTTTTATTATTTCTTAAGGGAGGTCAGGGGTAGTAAATAACTGAGCTGAACTTGAAGCCTGGCACACTAGGTTATCCCTACCCTCCATCTCTCTTTTCGCCTTATGAATATTAATTCATCTAAATCTCTAGGGCAGTGCAGTAGAACCTTCTGTGATGATGAAATCTCTGACTGCCCAATATCATAGCCACATTTAGTTCATATGTTCTTGAAAAATCATGACTGTGACTATATATGCATATAGCTATGGCTTTTCAAATTGATATAACATTAATGAATTTAAATAGCCACCTAAGATCTATGCTTGTATCTGTATTCTCTTTTGCACTGCAGTGCTCTATATTCTTATATTTTTGTGTCAATGTCTTGTCCATGCTGCTAAATGTAAGCCAAGAAACATCTCTCTTCCTTTTAGAGAGAAACAGCCAGGATGCAGCAAATTACAAACCTAGTGTCAGAATGAGTCTTGAACTGAATTAACCACTGCCATTTCTTATTTCCAGAAACCCCAAAGCCGCCCTACATTCGCTGAGCTGTTGCAGATTCTTGCAGAGATTGCAGAGATCTGGTGACCTGAAATGGAACACCAGCCCAGAAGCCATTGTACACATCTGTCGTAAAAGGAAATTCTATTCTATTCTATTCACTGATGGTGATCCTACAATGTTGACTCTTGAATGCAGGACAAAGATCACAAACTTTTAAAGTTTTTTTTAAAATTGAAGACTTTTCTGGCAATAGCTTCTCTGTGTGTATATTTAAGAAAGACTTATGATTGTGTAGTTTTCTTAATTTTTTGTAATATGTTTTCTGTTCCATGTATAAAAAAGGAGAAAGGACTCCATAGTAGCCTGTTGTTATGTACTTTCGAGTCAGAACTGATCCATAGCTGACCCTCCAGTGAGCTTTCAGAGACAGTAAATCACACCAGAGGAGATTGCCCATCTTTTTCCTACAGACTAGCTCGTGGATTTGAACTGCATGCTTTTGAGATTACAGAGCAGCTTCTTACTACTAGGCCACCAGAGCTCCTTATAATAGCCTATAGCATGGCAATACCTCTTGAAAACCTCTGAGAACCCACAGAAACTTGATCCTTTACAGTATAATGATAATTCTTTCCTGAAAAAGTGATACTCTTTACCTCAGTATTCCAGGTATAGAAGATGAAATGAAACCTTGTCAATACCTACAATAAAAGATCTTATCTTTCAGAATTTCACATTTTTGAGCTGTACAGATATTTATAGAAAATATACCACTGTATCTACTCACATGATCTGTATTTTATAATATTTTCATGTATTATTTGACAGATATGCTGTTTGGCACATTTAGTTTTTATTCTTTTAGAGACAACTTCTGAGTACTGTCATAGTTCCTCTTGAACAAATCCTGGTAACAATCCTATTTCTAATGATATCTATCATCAGGAAAAATTCAGACCTGAATTTCAGTTCTGAGATTTCACTCTTTGAGCATGTAGGATTGAACCAATTGAGAAGTCTTATTTTGCACTGAATGAACCTCCTCACACTTTTCTAAACAGAGAAAAATGCTGTCCTCTGGAAGAAAAGTGTTTCTACAAAACAGCAGAGACTTTTTTTTCCGAATCAGATTAAATGCTCTACATGTTATGAAAGACTATTATTTCTGAGATCAGTAGTTTAGAATTCAAGATAAAAAAACCAGAAAGGATGATTAAATGTTAATATGCCATGAAAAATGTGTATAAATTCTTAGAAAACCATTTTTATCATGTTGAGTACTTCAGATGTACAAAGGAAAAAAATTCTACAGAGCGCAATTATAAAAACTATGAGGTTAAACAATGGAAGTCCATTATTTGTGTCTTATACCATTTTTGTATCTTGGTTCTAGGGTTACAAATTTTATAATTTTCACTAGCTTATAAATTCCTGGGTGACAATTGTGTGAGTTTTTAATCACCTTTCCCTACTCCAAAAATGATACCTTTGTATACAAATTGTGCTCAATACAGGAGGTGCACTGATGTAATGAGAGTCAGGTACAAGCAGAGACCTTACCATTGAAGTGGTGGTGGTCTCTGGAATATTTTGCCCATTGGAAATTATATAGAGCAGTTATACTCCACCCCACAGGGTCTCATTAGTTAGAACCCATTCAGTAGGAGTGAGTTTGGCTTTTGAGGAAGTGAAAACTGTAAAGAGGAGAAGGTTGATGGTCAAAGGACTCAGAGGGAAATCAGGGAAAAAAAGGAAAGACAGTAAGTAGTCAAGCAGATGATAAAAATGATCGTTGTTGTTGTTATGTGCCGTCGAGTCGC